GGGGACACCTGGGGAGGGGCGGCCGGCGAGGACTGCACCGGAGGGCCACCAGAGCCAGAAGACTCCTCAACCGGGTCCACGGACGGAAGGGGGGTGACATGGGAGACACCAGAGGGGGCGGGACGGGGAGGAGGAGGAGGAGGGGCAGGGACTACCGGGGAAGGGGTGACCAGGAACAGGGGGGGGTAACCGGGGGACCACGGTGGGGGAAGCGGCGGTAGTAGGAGACGGACTCGTCAAAGGTGACGTCACGAGAGTGAAAGAAGCGGTGAGACGGCGGGTGGTAAAAGTGCCAGTCGGACGCGTCAAGGGGAAAACCGAGGAAGACGCAGGGAAGGGTGCGGGCAGTGAGCTTGTCCGTGCCGGAGGCACGGACGTGAGCAAGGCAGCCCCAGACGTGGAACGCAGACGCGTCACCAGGAGACCCAGTCCACAGACGGGTCGGCGAAACCTGCGGCTGCTGAGGGTGCGGCCACAGGTTAAGCTGGTGAGAAGCGTAGCGCACAGCGAACGGCCACAGAAAATGGGGTGCACCGGCATGGACCATGGAGGTGCGAGCGACCTCCATGACCAAGCCGATGCGTCGCTCAGCGACCCCATTCTGCTGTGGGGAGTCCGGTAGGGTGAACGTCTGGGTGATGCCCTCCGCACGACAAAAGCGACCAAGGACACCTGAGGCAAACTCGCCACCACGGTCTGAGTGAAGACGCAAGACAGGGAGACCGCGGTGGACACGCGCAGAGACAAGCCAGGGGATGAGGGCGCCAGGCACGTCGGCCTTGCGCTCCAGGGGAAAGACTGTGGTGTAACGAGTGAAGTCGTCGACAAGCACAAGGAAGTAGCGCTCGCGACGCGGCCCAGGGACGGGGGCGGGGCCCCAGACGTCCAGGTGCAGGGTCTGTTGCGGCGCGACGGTAGGGGGGAACGAGGAGGAGTGAGGGGCACGGCGAAGCCGACCCTCGACACAAGGCGTGCAAGGTGGAGCTGGGGAGGAGGGAAACGCGGGGAGTGAACCTGGGAGACCAAGGACAAGACCGTGCTGGGACATGTGACGCAGACGCGGGAGCGCAGGGTGACCTAGGCGGTGGTGCCACAGGAGGGTCGGGTGAGTGAGGGAGCGACAGGAGCAGGCAGCAGCAACCTGGGTAGACACAGCCACCTGAGGGGGCGCTCCAGCCGGGGGGGGCACGGTGTCCAGAGTGAACAGGCCGGACACCGGGTCCCGGGGGAACGTGGACAGGGGGGCACCCGTGGCGGCCTCGGTAGAGACAGCATACCGCTCGTGACCAGGGAACGTAGTGGTGACGCCAAGGTCCTGGAGGCAGCCGACACCAACTAGGTTCCTGGAGAACGAGGGGATATGCAGACCTGTAAGAGAGCCCGAAGGAACCGCCGGACAGGGAAGGGTGGTGGAACTGCGGGCGACTACCGGACCGCCAGAGGGGTCAGCAAGAGAAACGGCAGCAGGAACAGGAAGCGGCGTCAGGGTGGTGGAGTCGCGGAAGAAACACCGAGAGGCGCCAGAGTCCAAGGTGAAGGAAAGCGAAGCCGAGGGGTCTGGCGACGGAACGACGGCAGAAGCACCAAGACTACACAAAGCAGGGGATCCTACGCCTGACGCAGCAGGGGGGGCTAAGCTAGGCACACCTACACTAGGCAACAGTGAGTAATAAGTCGGAAGCAAACTAGCGTCATTAGCATACATCACATGCAGAGCAGAAACAATGGCATCCATGTCCATATCAAAGATCTGAATCTGACGACTAAGCAAACTGTGCCAGTCCGGGAGGTCTGGCGACGGGCCGAAACGCTGACGAAAGAGGTCGTCCAGGCGACGAAAGCAGCGGGGAGTGGAGTGACCGATCTTACCGCAAACGAAACCGCGGCGAGGACCGGTCTGGATCTGGTACTGACAACGCCCGCCGGAAGAGCCACCTCGCGGCACACCACCACGCGCCCGTCCACCGCCAGCGCCGGGCCACCCTGGCGGGAGAACACTCGTCTGCCGCGTCTGCGACGGCTGCTGCGGCTGCTGCGAAGGCTGCGACTGCGGCGGCTGCTGCGGCTGCTGCAACTGCAGGGGCGGCGACTCAGCTGGACTGGGCAGGGTCCCCTCGTCCGCTCCAGCACCAGGCAACCCGACCCCACCACTACCCCCGCCCGCACCCCCGCCGCCCCCTCCGCCGCGCCCAGCCTTGGGGCGGCGGCCCTTCCCCGAACGGGCCTGCGCTGCAGTTGCAGTCTCAGCCACTGCGGCAGAGCCGTCGGAGAAGGTACACTGAGCAGGGGCACAACCCTGAAAGATAGGGACCGGCACGACACCGCTCGCCTGGGCGATGGAGCGGTGACGGGTCTCTATCACAGTCAGGGTGTCGACAAAGTCAGTGAGGGTGAGGTCTGCGGGGTGAAGGCTAAGGAAGCGGTCGCGGACGACAGCAAGGCGGTCAGGGAGGCGGGTGGCAAGCAGGTAGAGGGTAGAGGTAATGGGCGGCTGGTGGGCTCTAAGCGGTGCGTCAGTGCAGGCGGCGCGCCAGGTCTCCTCTATCGAGCGCAGGTGGGCAGCGAGGTCAGAGACAGTGGGGAACGAAGCAAGGTCAGGAAAGAGCAGCGGGAGGAACAGGCGACCCACCGAGGCAGCCGGAGGGGTGGAATAGCGCTTGATGACAGCATCTAAGTATGCCTGAGCAGTAGTGAGGGACCTAAAGCGAGGACGCTCGGACGGGGGGAGGGCGTTGCTAATGGCAAGCTGGGCGATAGCATCGCGAGAAAGCCAGACAGAGCGCGCACGGGCAGTGGCAGCAGTAGACTCACGCTCAGTGGGTGTGGGGTCAGCGGGCAGAATAGCAGGAGGGTCTGGGCAGGGGAGCGTACCGTCAAGGTGTGCGGAAAGCGGTTCACCATCCTGCCGCTGGCCAGTGAGTTGGCGGCGGAGGTCGGCAAGCCACGCCTCGAACTCTAGGGGCTGACCTTCAGCGTCGAAGCGAAGCTCCGCCGCCATCAGGAACAGTCCAGTGCTGTGCAGGGCGGTGCAGTGCGGTGCAGTGCGATACAGTGCGGTGCAGTGCGGTGCAGTGCGGTACTGTGCGGTACAGTGCGGTGCAGTGCGGTACTGTGCGGTACAGTGCGGTGCAGTGCGGTGCAGTGCGGTGCGGTACGGTGCAGTGCGGTGCAGGGCGGCACGGAGCAGGGCGGGGTGGGGGGGGGGGTGGGGGGGGGGGGGGGGGGGGGGGGGACCGTACCAGTGAGGAGGACGGGGCCGGGGCTGGCCCGACGGGGCCGGGCGGGCGCGACGGGGCCGGGCTGATGCGACAGGGCCGGGACAGGGCGACGGGGCCGAGCGGGCGCGACGGGGCCGGGCTGGGGCGACGGGGCCGGGCGAGTGCGGCAGGGCCGGCCCGGTGCGACGGGGCCGGGCGAGCGGGACGGCGGCCGGGCTGGTGCGACGGGGCCGGGCGGCTGTGACAGCGCCGGGCGGGCGCGACGGGGCCGGGCGGCAGCGATGGCGCCGGGCGGGCGCGACGGGGCCGGGCGGCGGCGACGGGTACGACGCGGCCCAGGAGGGGCGCTACTGGGCCCAGGAGGGGCACGACGGGGGGCCCAGGAGAGGCGCGACGAGGCCCAGGAGGGGCACTACGGGGCCTGGGAGGGGCGCGACGGGGCCTGGGAGGGGCGCGACGGGGCCCAGGAGGGGCGCTACAGGGCCCAAGGAGGACGCGACGGGGCCCAGGAGGGGCGCTACGGGGCCCAGGAGGGGCGCAACGGGGCCCAGGAGGGGCGCTACGGAGCCCAGGAGGGGCGCGACAGAGCCCAGGAGGGGCGCTACGGGGCCTGGAAGGAGCGCGACGGGGCCCAGGAGGGGCGCGACAGAGCCCAGGAGGGGCGCGACGAGGCCTGGGAGGAGCGCGACGGGGCCCAGGAGGGGCGCTAGGGGGCCTGGGAGGAGCGCGACGGGGCCTGGGAGGGGCGCGACGGGGCCTGGGAGGGCGTTACAGGGCCCAGGAGGGGCGGTGTGAAGCCCAGGAGGGGCGCGACGAGGCCCAGGAGGGGCGCTACGGGGCCCAGGAGGGGCGCGACGGGGCGCTACGGGGCCTGGGAGGAGCGCGACGGGGCCCAGGAGGGGCGCTAGAGGGCCTGGGAGGGGCGCGACGGGGCCTAGGAGGGGCGCGACGGGGCCTGGGAGGGCGGTACAGGGCCCAGGAGGGGCGCTACGAGGCCTAGGAGGGGCGCTACGGGGCCTGGGAGGAGCGCGATGGGGCCTGGGAGGAGCGCGACGGGGCCCAGGAGGGGCGCTAGGGGGCATGAGCGGAAGCGGTAGGTGGGGGGGGGGGGATCCTACCTACGCGTGATACCATATCAGAAAATTGAATGATCGTGATAGAGGGAGAGTACACACAATATAGCTAAGTGTTGTACCCTCTAAGAGGCTACCCTATACAGTCTATACAAACATAACAAATAGACATGTTTGACAGAGAATCGCCCAGAATAGCGTCGGCCCTCCCACGTGCAGAGAGTACTGTAAAGTGGGGAGATATGGGGATGGGGAAGAGAGAGGGAAAGAGATGGTTGAAAAGGGAGGTGCAGGGGTAGAGAGGCGGGGCTGCTATACTGGAGCTGTCCTCTAGAGCGCTGGTGGAATCATTGGCCAGGAGAATCACCAAGAAGAGTCGTCGGCCCTCCCACGTGCAGAGTGCTATAAAATGGGGAGGGATGAGGATGGGGAGGATAATGGGATAACTTATAGGGCGTGTTCTTCTTCAGCAGATTTGTGAGTGGCACGAACCTCTTGTAATAGTTAGCGAAGCCTAGGAACAGCTACAACTCCTTCACGTTTTCGGGTGTCTTCCACATGCGTACGGCTTCGATCTTTTTGGGGTCGACGTGAACTCCTTGAGCGCTCACCATGTGTCCTAGGTATTGGACTTTCTCGAGGGCGAATTCGCTCTTGGATAATTTGACGTAGAATCGTTCTCGTCGAAGAATGTCGAAGACGCGTCGCAAGTGTTGGACGTGCTGCTGCAAGTCACACGAGTATGTCGTCCAGGTACACCACCACGCATTCGTCCAAGAGTGGGCGTAGAATATGGCTTATTTCGGCTTGGAACTTTGCCGGTGCATTGGTGAGTCCGAACGACATTACTAGATACTCGTACGACCCGTACCGAGTTCGGAAGGCAGTTTTGTTGATAGAATTGTCCGCCATTCGTATCTGCCAGTACCCGGACCATGGATCTAGTTTGGAAAATACCGTGGCTGCCCGAAGCTGATCAAGCAGATCATCGATTTGTGGTATTGGGTATTTTTTGTTGATGGTCTGCTTGTTGAGAGCTCGGTTATTGATGCACATGCGCAGGCTTCCGTCTGGTTTCGTTGTGAAGAGTACGGGGGCACCGTATGGCGAAGTGGATGGTCGGATGAGTCCTTTTGCGAGGAGATACTCGATCGGTTTCTTCATGTCGGTTAGCTCCATGGGGCTGAGCGGATATGGTGCTCGGAAGGTCGGCTTCGAACATGGTTCTTCCATGATCTCGTGTTGGTCCATTCGGTATGGTGGCAGCTCGTTCGGAAGGTCGTCGGGAAGAATGTCTTGGAATTCCTTCAGTATTTCCTTTATTTTTTGTGGAGGTTCCGAGGTTTTCTTCTCGTCGTTTTCCACTTTTGCTGCTATCGCGAGGAACCCGGTGTCGGTTCGCTTTACGTCCTTCTCGAATCGTGCGAGTGTCTCTACTGGGATATCTCCTGTATCGTCCCAGTTGGGTAGCTGGACTCTCCTTCCATTGTTGTAGATGCTTGCGGTACAATTTACTTAATTGATCTCGGGGTAGAATCTTTTTATGAAGTCTCACCCGAAGATCATGTCAAGCCCTCTTACAGTATGTTGGTGATGGGGAGTGTAGGTTTCCAGCGCAGTGGTCCGATTTGTAGGTGTAACACTGCTTTGCCGTGTACTGGTAACTTGCTGCCGTCCACCATCATTGCAGAGAATACTGAAGGCTTGTACTCTTCCCGAAGTCGGCCTTTTACTGCCTTGTCGCAGACGATGTGTGATGCTACGCTGTCCACGAGTGCTTGGGGGCATCGTCCTTTGCAGATGACCTCGAGCACGAGGGATGGGAGGAGGTGGTGCTAGGGGTGGCATGGGAGCGGGAGGGTCGGGAGGAAGCAGCGGAGATGGGGGAGGAATGGGAGGAATGGGAGGAGGAGCAGGAATGGGTGGGCCTGGGGGTAGCATGGGCGGATCTGGAGGAGGAGGTGGAGTGGGAGGTGGGGGCATGGGGGAAGGAGGCATGGGGGGAGGAGGTATTGGGGGAGGAGGCATGGGGGAAGGTGGCATTGGGGGAGGAGGCATGGGGGGAGGTGGCATTGGGGGAGGAGGCATGGGGGGAGGTGGCATGGGGGGAGGTGGCATTGGGGGTGGAGGCATGGGGGGAGGAGGCATGGGGGCTGGAGGCATGGGGGGCGGAGGCATGGGGGGCGGAGGCATGGGGGGAGATGGCATTGGGGGAGGAGGCATGGGGGGAGGTGGCATTGGGGGAGGTGGCATGGGGGGAGGAGGCATGGGGGGAGGAGGCATGGGGGGAGAAGGCATGGGGGGAGGAGGCATGGGGGGAGGAGGCATGGGGGGAGGTGGCATGGGGGGAGGAGGCATGGGGGTGGAGGCATGGGGGGCTGAGGCATGAGGAGAGGAGGCATGGGGGGCGGAGGCATGGGAGGAGGAGGCATGGGGGGCGGAGGCATGGGAGGAGGGGGCATGGGAGGAGGGGGCATGGGTGGAGGGGGCATGGGGGGAAGGGGAATGGGGGGAGGAGGCATGGGGGGCGGGATTGGTGGGCGTGGCAGGCGCTGAGGGGTGTGCGAAGGAGGCAGGAGTGGTGGGAGGGCGGGAAGGCAGGCAGGCAGGCTGGAAGCTCTCTCAAGCAACTTGCGAATGGCTCTCTAAGTGAATCTCAAGTGCCTCTCAAGTTGCAAGTCAAGTAGTAGCGGCAGACACAACTTTGGGCAAGTGAATGGATGGGCTTTGATTCACCTCAAGTTTCACTTCATCTGCTCTTGAGGTGCATCAAAGCCCAACCCCAGTCTATTGAAGTAAATACTTCAACACTGTCCCATCACCCCAGCCCATCGCTCCATGCGATCAATGTTCTGCTTGTTTCTCTTGTTTCAGTCTATGTTATTGCGACAGAGGTTATTCCCCTCTCATGAAGCATCAGCTTGCATTCATACAGACAAGAAGCAGCAATACTAAGCCTTCGGAATGAATCTGCTTCTCTGCTTCAGTAGAGGCAAAAAGGCACCTCAAACATATTGTTTCTATGACCTAAATCGAGTTTCGCAATAGATTTGAGCAGTTGCAAAGGTCCTTCCTTCCTTGACCAACAGAGGCCTGAAGCCTCGTTTATTTGTACAATGCCAAGGCGATCAGTACACTGACGGACGGAACAGCACAACTGGCATGCGGCCCATGAAAGTCTCACGGGCCTGCCTATATTCCTTCATTCTCATTCCTCAAGCAAGGAATGAGTCTGGCATGTAGCCCACTGTTGATCTACTCACTTGCGCTCCCTCACTCGTGTTCCCTCATGCGTCTTCCCTCCCTCCTGTTCCCTCACTCGTCTCTGAACCGCACCCTCTCATTGTGAGGTTTGAACACCTCTATCCCCTCTAAGAGCTCCCCTGATAACCACTTCCACTTGCTCTCATCGTCCAAATACCCGATACAGTAGTAAGTACACTCCGGCTGGTTGGGTGCCTCGTCATTTGTGCCACACCAGGGTGGCCACACGGCCGGCATCTGTTGTCTCAAGTGCCGGGTGGCTTTGCTAGGCTTCTCAACGTCGGCTTGAGTAGGGGGGGTGGAGCAGGGGTAGAGAGGCGGGGCTGCTATACTGGAGCTGTCCTCCAGAGCGCTCGTGGAATACTTGGCGAGGAGAATGGCCCAGAAGAGTCGTCGGCCCTCCCACGTGCACAGTGTGCTGTAAAATGGGGAGGGATGGGGATGGGGAAGATAAAAGGGAAAGAGAGAGTTAGTAGGGGGGGTTGAGCCGGGGTAGAGAGGCGGAGCCACTATACTGCAACCGTCCGCTAGAGCGCTGGTGGAATACTTGGCGAGGAGAATCGCCCAGAAGAGCCATCGTCCCTCCCGCATGCAGAGGGTGCTGCAGAAAGGGCGGTTAGGGGGGTTGGAGATAAGGGGAGGAGAGAGAAAGGGGGGGAAGGAGGGGAAGTGGGGAGGGGGGGGGGAGGGATGAGCCGATGTTCTGCTGTGGATCATGTTAAACATGGGCAGCTACAAGCTCAGTTGGTGGTGGTCAGAAAGTCAATCTAGGGGGGATACTTTACACTCTTTCCCAGCAAAAGGGTCCATATCAGGGAAAATTACCTTGCAAATTCATTGGCCGATGCAACCATCTCGCGCGCCTTGCGGTCGTTGGTGCGCGCCCACTCGATTTGCTCGTAGAGGTTTTGGAAGTGGCGGTGCGTGGGGAGGAAGTGGGTCATGGGGCACAGCAGCGGGTCGAAGAACTGGTAGTACTCGCTGGCTTGCCGTATCAGCACCTGTGGGGAGGGAATGCGAAGGACAGAGAGATGTTGTTGGAGATGACGCTGGCTGTAGATTGTTATCTAATACTTTTGAAGACACGAGTGGGTGAATTCGAGTGGACGGTGGGAGGGGAACACTGGGAAGTAGCGGGGGAAATTGATAAGGCAGCACCACCAGCGGAGGGAAGGTGTGGGAGGGGGAACTCAAGTGGGGGGAGGTGGGGGAAAGGGGAGGGTTTAGGGGGGAGGTAAGGGGGGGAGTTAAGTGGGTTTGGGAAGGGGTACTGGTATGAGTTACCATCACCATATTTCATACCTGACTGCTGGCCAACTCCCCGTCCCCACATCCATATCCACATCCACATCCACATCCACATCCACATCCACATCCACATCCACATCCACATCCACATCCACATCCAACCCCGCAGCTCGCATCCCCACCTGATTACCAGCCCAATTCCCCTCCTTAATTGCTCACCTGATTGCTCCCTAATCCTCACCTGATTGCTCCCTAATCCTCACCTGATTGCTCCCTAATCCTCACCTGATTGCTCCCTAATCCTCACCTGATTGCTCCCTAATCCTCACCTGATTGCTCCCTAATCCTCACCTGATTGCTCCCTAATCCTCACCTGATTGCTCCCTAATCCTCACCTGATTGCTCCCTAATCCTCACCTGATTGCTCCCTAATCCTCACCTGATTGCTCCCTAATCCTCACCTGATTGCTCCCTAATCCTCACCTGATTGCTCCCTAATCCTCACCTGATTGCTCCCTAATCCTCACCTGATTGCTCCCTAATCCTCACCTGATTGCTCCCTAATCCTCACCTGATTGCTCCCTAATCCTCACCTGATTGCTCCCTAATCCTCACCTGATTGCTCCCTAATCCTCACCTGATTGCTCCCTAATCCTCACCTGATTGCTCCCTAATCCTCACCTGATTGCTCCCTAATCCTCACCTGATTGCTCCCTAATCCTCACCTGATTGCTCCCTAATCCTCACCTGATTGCTCCCTAATCCTCACCTGATTGCTCCCTAATCCTCACCTGATTGCTCCCTAATCCTCACCTGATTGCTCCCTAATCCTCACCTGATTGCTCCCTAATCCTCACCTGATTGCTCCCTAATCCTCACCTGATTGCTCCCTAATCCTCACCTGATTGCTCCCTAATCCTCACCTGATTGCTCCCTAATCCTCACCTGATTGCTCCCTAATCCTCACCTGATTGCTCCCTAATCCTCACCTGATTGCTCCCTAATCCTCACCTGATTGCTCCCTAATCCTCACCTGATTGCTCCCTAATCCTCACCTGATTGCTCCCTAATCCTCACCTGATTGCTCCCTAATCCTCACCTGATTGCTCCCTAATCCTCACCTGATTGCTCCCTAATCCTCACCTGATTGCTCCCTAATCCTCACCTGATTGCTCCCTAATCCTCACCTGATTGCTCCCTAATCCTCACCTGATTGCTCCCTAATCCTCACCTGATTGCTCCCTAATCCTCACCTGATTGCTCCCTAATCCTCACCTGATTGCTCCCTAATCCTCACCTGATTGCTCCCTAATCCTCACCTGATTGCTCCCTAATCCTCACCTGATTGCTCCCTAATCCTCACCTGATTGCTCCCTAATCCTCACCTGATTGCTCCCTAATCCTCACCTGATTGCTCCCTAATCCTCACCTGATTGCTCCCTAATCCTCACCTGATTGCTCCCTAATCCTCACCTGATTGCTCCCTAATCCTCACCTGATTGCTCCCTAATCCTCACCTGATTGCTCCCTAATCCTCACCTGATTGCTCCCTAATCCTCACCTGATTGCTCCCTAATCCTCACCTGATTGCTCCCTAATCCTCACCTGATTGCTCCCTAATCCTCACCTGATTGCTCCCTAATCCTCACCTGATTGCTCCCTAATCCTCACCTGATTGCTCCCTAATCCTCACCTGATTGCTCCCTAATCCTCACCTGATTGCTCCCTAATCCTCACCTGATTGCTCCCCTAATCCTCACCTGATTGCTCCCTAATCCTCACCTGATTGCTCCCTAATCCTCACCTGATTGCTCCCTATCCTCACCTGATTGCTCCCTAATCCTCACCTGATTGCTCCCTAATCCTCACCTGATTGCTCCCTAATCCTCACCTGATTGCTCCCTAATCCTCACCTGATTGCTCCCTAATCCTCACCTGATTGCTCCCTAATCCTCACCTGATTGCTCCCTAATCCTCACCTGATTGCTCCCTAATCCTCACCTGATTGCTCCCTAATCCTCACCTGATTGCTCCCTAATCCTCACCTGATTGCTGGCCAAGATGCCGCATGTCCGGCCACTCCCCGTCCCCCCGTCCACATCCAGCTCATACTTAAACCCCTGCAGCTCCTCCGGGTTCAACCTCCCTCCCAACCGCACTCCATCCTCCTCCATCTCCTTGCGCCACTTGGGCTCCACGCCACTCATGACACGCGCGTCCAGCAGGTCCGGGCGGGCGTCTGCCATGCGGTGCACACGGAAGCGCGGGCTGGAGCGCCAGTGCATGTGCATGGAGATTGCATAGTTGGTCATGCCGCCCCGGAACACCGCCCGGCTCTGCTTTTGCTCCCAAGAGACCTGAAGTGGGAGGAAGGGGGTTGTGGGGGGTTGATTGAGGAAACTACGTTCGTTGCTTGCGTGTGAAAATATGTGACGGCCTTCCCGCCACCAGGGCTCCACTCCCCCCACTGAGTTTTGCGTCGAGGGGGTCCGGGCGGGCGTCTGCCATGCGGTGCACGCGGAAGCGCGGGCTGGAGCGTCAGTGCATGCGCATGGCGATCTGGAAGTTGGACAAGCCCACCTGAACACAGCCCGGCTCTGCCTTTGCTCCCAAGAGCCCTAGAAATTAGGCAGAGAGAGGACAGGTTATGGGTGGTTGTGATTGTTGCCGCCATTTTCTGCGGGGAAGTGAAACCGCTGAACGGAGGGTTGGTTGGAAGTAGCGAATTTCGAGGTTTCAGGGGACGGCGTTTGGGGTGAACAGCGGCAAACCGGTGCAATTCTCTCAGGCTGTAGAACTACTACTGCTGAAGTACCGTACTTACGCTACCCTGTTTTATCCATGCCACAACTTATCCTCGACGTCTCGGAAGTAGCTCTTTGAGAGGTCAACCGGATCAGGGTTGGGAATATCGAGGGATCGGGGGATGACGAGTGGGCTGAACACGGGCAGGCCCACGCGGTCCTCGCGATTAACTTCTGCGATTGCGTTCGAGCTATCTACACGCACGAAACCTTATATATTTACTGTACCTTATCCTCGACGTCTCGGAAGTAGCTCTTGGACAGATCGACGGGATCGGGGTAGGGAATATCGAGGGAGCCGGGGATGACGTGCGGGCTGAACACGGGCAGCCCCGCGCGGTCCTCGCGTGCGACCGAGTCTGCCTTGCTCGTCGGCTGGTCGCACGTGTTCAAGAACAGCTCCGCGTTCAGGCTGTACAGTTTGTACTCGTTAATAGCGTCCTTGATCATCTTGACGGTGAAGACGAATCGGCGCATGCGGTACCAGTCGAACTGGAAGGCCCCCAGGCGGAAGAAGATCTTTCCGCGCACTATTCGGATGTGGCCGGAGCACGAGAGGATCTGCGCGGATGGGGGGAAAGGGAGAGGGGGGGGGTTGGGGGGAAGGGAGGGGGGGGGGAAATAAAGGAGAGGGGGTGGGGGATAGTAAGGGGGGGAATGGGAGAAGGTGTGGGGAAGGAGGGCGGGAACTACTGAGAGTGTTCAGAGCACTGATAGCAGAATCGTAAGCGATTAAAAAAAAAAAAAAAAAAAAAAAAAAAAAACTTTCGAAAACTCGGTCGCTTCATGGGCTCTTGCCGCCTCATCGTGCTCCCGCCCGCGCTACCTACATTGGCCATGGTCCCCATTTGGTGCAGAATCTCCGCGGATATCATTCCCCGCGCGCCCATGCCCTCCGCGACGCCCGGAATGCCCATCCACGGGCGCAGGTAGTTGTGCGCCAGGCACGCCAGCTTCCGCACGGTGGTGGAACCGCTGCGCGCGCGCAGCGCGGGGAACGCCGCCAGGTCCCCCACGCACTCGTCCGCGGACACGCCGTCGGGGAAGCCGCACGAGCCCTGCCCGGACTCGAACACGCGGGGGAAGGCGGAGGAGGGGAAGCCGGCGGAAGCTTCCTCCCGAGTGGAATCTCGGCGGCTTCCGCCGCGGTTGTCGGCGCTGTTGCCGGCGCTGTTGTCATTGGCGCTGTTGACGGCGCGTCTGGCGGCGCTAGGAAAGGACTGCAGGATTGCGGCCTCGTTTGACTGGAAGCGCTCTAATCTCCTCCGAGGGCTGTCGTCGGGCTGAGGGAAGGTCGGGGGAGCGGAGAGGGAAAGCGAGAGGGGAGGAAGCGAGGAGGAAAGAAGAGAGGAACAGCCGTCAACGGAAAGTGATTGGAGCTACGCGGGAGAAAGGGACGATAGTCGCCTAAACAAGGACTCTGCTCTCAATGATGGAACGGCGCGAGAGGGGTAATATGGATGGTAAGGGCAGGATTTTGGTTATGCTGGATAATTGTTGGGACTGTGGATCGTGGGGGACCTCGAACGCCTTAGAATCGAAGAATCTAACTGTTGCTGTAAAATGCTCAATAGCGCTCACCATGTCCGTGAAGCGGTAGAGCTGGCCCAGCGATCCTCGCCAGTGCGACGCAGAGAGCGACAGCCACAGCAGCAGCGCCACTGGCACTAGCACAGGCACTATCCGCGATACACTCTGCCCCGCTAATTGCGGCAGTGGGCACGGCCGTCGCATACTTGCTGTCACTGCTGGGTGATGCGACGCAGCCATCTGTTCTAGCGACGAAAGCGGCGGGATTCTTCGAAGAGTGAGCGAGGGTGCACGCCAAAACGGTGTCGTTTGGCTGGGGAAACAAATCGGTGTCGTGGGCCGTAGGCTCGCTGAGTCGACTGCCAAGACTCTGCGCGTCACGTGAGAGGAATTGAGCGTGTGGATCGTGTAATGTAATATATGGTATGCCACGATTTTCCTCGCTTGTTTCAATAGTAGCAGACAGCCGTGACGCCTTTGTACCGCGCATGCAGACTGGCAAAAATATCGGAACTAATCTACCACCGTGCCGTTCTTGTAGGCAGTCTCATTCCAGACGACACTACGCTGCTATCAAGTCTTCCAACTTTGACTAAAGCTGGTGTCGCCTCAGATACTACCTTTCACCCACCATTTCCTAGCTAACAAACGGACCTCGGCGTTGCGCCCAATTGACTCTTGCCGCCATTTTGCAAGCAGACCACCAGCAGTGTCGCCTAGGTCGAAGGCGACAGGTTGATCAGGTGAAAAAACAGACTAGGAGGGTGAGAAAGCTCCTGATTGGCTGCTTCGGGAAATTCTTAGATTCGTTCTCGTCGCGGATTGATTCACGACTCAAGTGGCAGAGTTGTGGCGAGCGCCAGCTCGAGCTCAAGGTGTCGCCGTCGTCGAATTCGGGAGGTGGGAAAAATGCCAGCCTGCTCACCCACACTTGCCCTGTCGCACCAGGCCCCACCACTTATTGCACCAGGAACATGAGGGAGGGCGGGATCGCTATGGAGTGGAAGTCATGAAAAACTATTGATGCCCCTAACATACACTACTATTCTAGTGTCGCACCATATGGGCGTATGCGTACATAAAACTCTTTCTCTCGTACGCATACACCCATATGGTACAACAATAGAGCTCGATGTGTTTGAAACATCATGAAAGTGTACCTTCTGTAGAAGTGAACCACGTGTTTTGGTGGAACCACGAGTAAAAGTCAGCGGAAGACTTTACACCTTGTATTGGAAATGCCAGAAATAACAAGGATAATAATAACGAGACAGACATAATTATAGTCTAGGAAGTACCTATTCGGAATGTACCTGTTCGTAGTGTATCGCGACTATTCGCGTGACATAACTAGTGACTGTTCGTGTGATTGAGAGTGGCTTGACCCTTCGGGTGACTATACGCACGAATGTACTGTTAATGCGTTGCCCGCGTTGTCTGTCCAGATCTCTTTCATCTTGATGCCGCTCTGCCGCTCCGCGATTTTCAACTATAGTTTGACGGTGTCGAGAGCTTCAGACTTGTGAGAGATATTTTTGTGCCACACATATCGAGTAGCCTCATTGATGAAGGTAATTATATAACGGTAGTCGTTGCCGCTGATATCTTCTGCTTCCTACGGCATTAAGAGTATGTCGTTGAAAACGACATCCATAGGTGAGTACATAGCTGCACTTGAAAAGTGTGACGGGAACGGAGCGTGACTCAGGTGAGCTCCGAGGCAGCTGTTGCAGGGTAGTTAACGACTGCTAGGTCGAAGCTCTAGTCCGTTGGGTAGAAGGAGTGCGTCCTTGTCGAAAACCGAGGCTTAAATCGAGTTGTTGACCTAACCGCTTGTGCCAGATTTCTGCTGTAGCCCTGTGT